TGTTCTGTCCTTGCTTCCCATCCACAAAGGGCCCTGGGCACTGTCTTAGTTAGGGTTTCTGTTGCTGTGAAGAGACACCATAATCCCAGCAACTCTTATAAAGGAAAAACATTTAATTGGGGTGGCTTACATTTCAGAGATTTAGTCCATTCTCATCATGGTGCAACATGGAGGCATGCAGGCAGACACAGTGCTGGAGAAGGAGCCAATAGTCCTGCATCTTGAGTTGCAGGCAACAGGAAGTGGTCTGAGAAACTGGGCATGGTTTGAGCATATGTGCCTTCACAGTGGCACACTTCCTCCAACAAGGCCAGCAAAGTCACACCTCCTAATTAGTAGTGCTACTCCCTTTGGGGGCCATTTTCTTTCAAACCACCACAGGCCCCATGCAACCAGACATCAGTCCCTGTTGGGAACATTGCCATCCCATCTGCTGGTAGGGGCATAAACTTAAACTCAGGTCTTTATGCTTACACAACACACACTGTCCACTGAATCATTTCCTTAGTCTGTCTGTCTGTGTGTGTGTGTGTGTGTGTGTGTGTCTGTCTGTCTGTGTCTACCTGTCTGCCTGCCTGCCTGCCTATCCTATGGCACATAGGGAGGTCAGAGGACGCTTCGAGAAATCAGTCCTCTTTCATCAAGGGGGTTCCAGGGATTGAACTCAGGTTGACTTACAGCAAGCCCCTTTACCCACGGAGACATCTCACCAACCCCCAATGACTGGTTTCTGTGACTTAGTCTCTGTCCCATGAGTTCTAGGCATGAGAACATGAGCACTCACGGTCTCTGTTGCCAATTCCTAACAGACTGTTGTCATACAGAAAGGAGATACGTTTGGTGGGGGTGGCTGGATGGTCTACTCCTCGGGTCAGTCGGCACAGGCATTCCACATGTTTGTGGAGTCACATGTGTCCACCAAGCAAGCTTGCCGATCTCTTAGTCCCCCTGTTCCTGGGCTGTTTGTCCTCTGTGTCTCAAAATGCCTGTCGCTGTCTCCCACCATGGTGGACGTTTCTTTGTGTCTCTTCTCAGTACTACCCATCTTAAGACTGTTTTATAAAAGGCAGAGAATCAAGCCATCCTGTTCTTTTGGGTGAACTGAAACACCCTCAAATCTCTGTGCTAAACAATTAAGTTGCCACCCAGCCTTCCTTTGGTCAGCTGTGCCCAGCGACCTTTGTTTTTGTCATTGGCTTCCGGCTGTCCTCCTAAATTCCATATGCATCTTTGCTAAACAGCCCAAAGCTGGGTTCTGTCCACACCAGCCATCTGCTGTAAGTGGGACCCGGGTCACTTCCAGCTCTTCCACTCCCTTCTCAAGACTCACTCTGGCTGGCTTGTCTTGGAGCTCCCAGCTCTCCTTCCTTGCCATCTCTTCATGTGATCTGATCGAGGGGTCCCTAAACTCCCTGTGTTCTCAGTGCCCACTTGAAAGATGTGCAGCAGGCATCTTCACCATGGGCCAGCATCCTCAGCAGGGTCAGGAGGTGCCATTATTCCTGGTGAGCCAGGGCCTGGACCGCAGTGGCCTCACCGGGATCTCCAGGGTGAACATATGACCTCTGTATATTTAAGAAACTGTTGTTCATTGGAAATTCTAATTTTACTAGCTCTTGCATGTGTTCCTGCCAAACTGGCAGCCCAGTCCCAGCCCCTCCCAGGCTGCATGCCTCCCTCTGACTTATTTAATTTCACTGACTGGACATTTTTGTTGCTGTCATGTGTCACCCACATTGGGTCTGGGCCACACTGCACTCAGGCGATTTCTTCCCCCATTATCCCTCATTTCCTGTCTTCCTGCAGGACATTATACTGTGTCTCAGGAGTATCCTGTGGGTTTTCTCTAGGAAAAGGGCAGGCGTGGACAACATCCCACTTTGTTTTGAGGGAGATACTTTTGTTCCACCTTGTTGTTAATGACAGCTTCGCTGGGCATACGATTCAGGGTAGCCAGTGTCTCCTCTTGGCACGTGGAGCTCTCAAGCTGCCCCCTTGGCTTCCCTTGCTGTTGGAAAGCTGTGTATACCCCACTGCCCAACTGTGGAGTGACCTGCTCTCCCTAGCTGCTTCGACAATCCTGAGTCAGCCTTGGGTGTTCTGAGGTTTGTTTCCAGCGTACCTTTAGATTTCTGGTTCTGGCTGTCCCTGTGGGGCTCTTCCCTGCCTGAGCCTGGGATTTCCCAGCTCTGGAGAGTCCATGGTCATTTGTTGTGGGATATTTGATCACACTGTGACACTCCGAGACTGTTAATAAAAAGTTAACCGTGAATCGGGATGGAGCCAGTGACTAGCTGACTGGAATTAGCCTAGAGAAGCCAGGAATCTGGATAGAGAAGATGAAAGGGAAGGAAAGGGCCAGACTAGAGTTTGACGCTTCTTTTGGGTTTGAGATGAGTGAAGAGATGCATCTCTTGCTCCGCCTCCAGCCAGAAAGCAAGGTCAGCCGGTGCTTCTCTTATCTAGCAGGTTTTCACCCTCACATCTGACTTCTGAGTCTATTGGTCAATAGAGTGATAGAGACTTAGTTTAAACCTACATATCTCAGCTGCAGCAGAAGACATCAGTCATTGCTTCCTCCGATGCTCATTCCTAGGAGCTGGGGCCTTTGCTGGGGCCTCTCTCCCGAGCACCGTCGGGCTTCTGCTCTGCCTCCTCCCCTCAGCTCTAGCATCAGCGTTTGGACTTCCCAGCTTACCTCCTTGTGTTCTGGTTGTTGCTGTTACACACAGGGCTAGCACTGGCTCCCCCAGTCTACCAGGTCAGGTTCAGTGACCTCTTTCTTTCGCCATTGAAAACACATCCAACAGGTATAACTGCAGTCTTTGATAATCCAGATGGACTTTCTATTTGGAGAGGGGAGGGGGTGTCAGTGACAGTGCCTGAGTTCCCACACACCCATCAGAAACCTCCCCCTTTGCCAGCCTCCCCACTGCATGAGACCTTGTCATAGCCTGGAAGGCAGCTCTCCTCTGGCTGTCCACAGAACTCCAGGTGTATCTGGATGTCACCAGTGCTACACAGGGCCCTTCCTCCGTCCCACCCAGGATCTAGTGTTGTGCTTGGTCCTTCTGCACCCCTCGGTCTCCTGCCTGTGCCACTTCCCATTGCGTTTCCTGGCTCTGATGACCTCAGGACGTTCTGGTCAAGATTTTTTTGGAATGTCTCCCAGTTTATGTTGGCCAGTGTGAGTATGAAATGTCCCTTACAAACTTGTATGTTTGATACTGTTGGGGAAGCTGTGCGACCTTTTGGCTGTGGGGCCCTCAGGGCATGGCTTGAGGGTCACAGTTCGTCCGTCCTGTTTTCACCTGTGCTTCTGCCTGACTGCCCAAGTGAGGGCCGGTGTGGCTGCCCCTGCCATTGCACCTCCCACCAGGATTTACTGAGCCTCGAGCCCTGAGCCAAACAAACCCTCCCTCCTCTCACAGCAGTGCGAAAGTAAGTGTGAGGTTTGTCCTCGGGGCTGCACAGTGGTGTGTTCACCTCAGTCACCAGCCTCCACTTGCAGTCACTCCTGTTCCCCTGTGGGAGGTGGAGGTGGAGAAGCAGGAAGTTGACGTCCTGGGATCATTAGCAGTTCTATCAGGAATGTCTGTCTTCCCACACACACACTTCCTTCCTTCCTTCTGTGTTTATGCTCAGGTTATAGGTTGGGTACTGACTCCATGCTGTGTTACTCCAGTGTTCAGCCTGTCCCAGCTGTGGCTGTAGGGCACTGTTCCAGGTGTACCCTCTGTGTTCTCTGGTGTCCCCGTAGCTTCTCCAGTGTTCAGCCTGTCCCAGCTGTGGCTGTGGGCACTGTTCCAGGTGTGCCCTCTGTGTTCTCTGGTGTCCCCGTAGCTTCTCCAGTGTTCAGCCTGTCCCAGCTGTGGCTGTGGGCACTGTTCCAGGTGTACCCTCTGTGTTCTCTGGTGTCCCCGTAGCTTCTCCAGTGTTCAGCCTGTCCCAGCTGTGGCTGTGGGGCACTGTTCCAGGTGTACCCTCTGTGTTCTCTGGTGTCCCCGTAGCTTCTCCAGTGTTCAGCCTGTCCCAGCTGTGGCTGTGGGGCACTGTTCCAGGTGTACCCTCTGTGTTCTCTGGTGTCCTCGTAGCTTCTCCAGTCTTTTCCCGCCAGCCTGGCCTCAGCCATTGTCTCTTGTTGGTGAATAGCTTGAGGGTGCCATGTTGGCTCCCCTCACCCAGGCTCCTGATGGCTATGTTGAATGATGTCTTCAGTTAGAAGGTCACACTTCCTGCGATGTAATTGGCAGTGCTCACATGCAGGCAGGTTGGGGATGGATGTCTCACAGAGGGCTGCAGTGACTGGCCAGATGCCCTGGATCAGGAAGCCCAGCAACTATACATGGCAGCTCTCCAGTCAGGTTGAGGTCAGGGCAAATTCAGGGTGACTTTATTTTTGGGCTTCTACCCAGAGCTGAGGTAAGACCAGCTTCTCTTTAGGCCTGGCTCTAGCTCTCTCTTTTGTGTGTTCTCCCTGATCTGTAGGAAGAACAGCCTTTCTGCATAGCTGTTGTTGCAGATGTGATTCTGCCCTGGGTTCCTGCTACCTACTTACTACCCTGCTGTTAGATATTTCATCTGTGAGAGACCTACTCACTTCCCTCCATGCGCCGCCATCTTCCACGTGTGTGAGAAAAGCAGGATTGGAGATCTTGGGCATTACAAGTGTAGCTTCAGCAACTAACCATTCTTTCTCTGCTCTGAGTGGTACACAACGATGACACCAAGCTGGCGTTCTCTATGCAGCCTCCTTCTGGGTCTGTCCTCCTGGGAAGCCATGAATACAATCCATTGAACCCTAAGGAGGAAAAAAAAAATATGGAGTCATGTTGACTTTTTAGAGTTACTGTATCTTCCCTACAAATTACTGTATCTTGAGGAGCGAAGTGCTGTCTCTGGACACCCATTAACAAATACACAGATCATACATAGATTAACACATACACAGATTATATGCTGTCCATCGCCTTCATAATATATCTGTTTCTCTCTTACAGCTTGAGCCTCTGCCAGAAAAGGTTCTGCAGCAGAGACCCAATGCCAATGCTGTCCACTCCATGGAGAAAGTGATGGACATCCACAGTAAGTAGCTGGCCAGGTGATTCCTGGGGACCCAGGACAGGAACACAAGGCCTCTCTTTCCCTGGTATTTGATGAGCTAGTAGAGACTCCCAGAGCTAGTTCCTGCTGTACTGGGGTTCGAAAGAATCTGGACACCAATGGTCTCAAGTTACTTAGTTCAGATGCCCAGAACCAGGGTGCCTTGGACTGTAAGTCTGTGTCCTGGACCAGAGGTACCCCACATAGGGTAGAACCCATCTCCCATTCAAGCAGAAAGTCCCAGGGCTAGGCAGCAGGCACACAGCTAGGCACCCACGCAGCACCCTGCCCCAGGTACACCTGCCACTCCTTGCCTGGGCTCTAATCTGCCCATCCTGGTACAAAAGCTTACATAGATGATGCATACCTGAAGGCATACTAGGTCCGCATGGGGCCATTTAGTTCTGGCCTCAAAGCTGTTTCTACTGATGCCCCTGACCCTAAAAAGCTGCTCAAGCAGGGCCCCTTGTGCTGGATCTGGGTGTGGTATATCCCCAGCATCTACAAGACTCCAGGTAGGAAACTCGGAGAGTCTGGGTGCTATCATCAGGTCTGCATGCGCCTGCTCCCAGAATTTCTGGTTGCCCACAGCAAGGCAGAGTCCCGTGAATGTGGAGAGCCAGGCCCAACAGTCCCAACCCCGTGTCCAGTGACCTGTGCTGCAGATAAGTGTTTGTGAGCTATCACCAGGCAGTGCTCTTCAGAGAGGCACTTCTCAGGCACAAGTGAAAGTCTTCCTAGGGCCCCAGGGACTTGGGAGCCAAGCCAGCCACCTGCAGAAGCAGGAAGTCACTGAGTGCTCTCCCTCCCCTCAGGCAAGTACTGGTGCTGCCTGCAGCGCTTGTCCTCCACCGTGGGGCACTCTCTGATTGAGGCGCAGAAGTGTGAGAACGAAGAGGCTGAGACAGTCACCGCCATGGCCTCACTGTCTGTAGGCGTAAAACCTGCTGAGAAGAGGTGAGCCCTGCCCATACTCTTCCTAAGTAAGGCCTGCTGGGTACACCTGTGCATGCGGACCTGGCGGAATCTTACCGTGTGCACCCAGCCTTGTGCCAGGCTAGCCCTTCGTGGACAGGACAGATGGTGAACATGCCCACTGACTCCACAAACTAAAACTGTCCACCAGGGAAGAGCTTGAGCCTTGGTGGGACGGAGATCTGACAACTCTGTGGGAAAGGGAGCCTGATTGCTTGTGCAGGGCCTCGCCCACCGCGCACCCTGCCTGACCCCCTTCTCTGCTCCACAGGTCGGAGGAGGAGCCTATGGAGGAGGAGCCACCACTGTAGCCCAAGCTGCTGTTCCCTCCTTTGTTTGTCTGTCTGGAAGCTCAGCCAAGAAACTTTCCCGTGTCACTCCTGCGCCCTGCCTTGGTGCTCTCGGAGTGCAAAGGGACACCAGGCGTGCAGCAGCAACGGGAGGCCTTTCCGCCGCCCTGGACCACAGGTCTGGAGACGTACACGAACACCAGGTGTGGCAGATCACATGGAACACAGGACAGCGTGCAACACACAGGCACACAGACACGCGGAAAGCCAAGCACACGCTGGTGGGGTCCCCCAGGGAAGCCCACGAAGGAAGAAGCCTGTGGCAGCTTAGGCAGAGTTGCTGAATCGAGTTGACATGAGGAAAATGAAAATCAAAGATCTAATAATACAGAAAAAACTTGATTAAAACTGGTGCTTAACATTTGATTCTTACCCACAATCCCACATTCTCCGTGTAAACCACTCAACTCATCTTGTAGCTTTTTTTTTTAAACAGAGAGTTTTCTATGGCTCTGGCCTGCCTTGTGAACCTTAGTGGGGTGCTGTGGGGGTTCACAGCTTACTGAGGGACAGAGTTGGAAGAAACTTTAAAGAAAAAAAGAAACTGGACAGAACAGAAATGTGAGCCTGGGAGTCAGCTGGAGCTTCTCGAAGCCATCGGAAGATGCGAGTTTGTGCCTTTTTTTATTGCTCTGATGGATTTTTTTGTGGCTGGGTTTTCTGAAGTCTGAGGAACAATGCCTTAAGAAAAAAAAAAAAAAAACACCAAGAATTGGTGTGACAGTGTCCTGCGGCTGGCTGAGCTGTGGTGCTGGCCTGGCTTTACAAGAGTAGGCACCAGCCACTGTCCCGGGCCACCGTGCAGCTAGCCTTGCTTGGTTTGGTCGCTGTTTAAGGAAGATGAGGTAGTTCCAGAAAGCAGCGAACTGCCGGCAGTTTTGAAGTCCAACATGTTTTCAACGGATCCAAAGTGTTCTTTTCTCATCCGTCACGTAGCAGTGGAGCATCTCCATTCGGTTGTGAAGCATGTCGTAGGCACACTGCAGTGTTACGATCGGAATGCTTTTCATTAAAAGCAGGTAGCATGAAGTATTGCTTAAATTTTAGGTATAAATAAATATATATATGTATAATATATATTCCACTGTATTCCAAGCTAAGAAACTTGATTCTTATGAGATCTTGATAAAATATTTATAATGCATTTATAGACAAAGTATATATAAATATATATAATAAATCCAGACCGCAGAGGTCCTGGCAGGTGAAAGACATGTGTGTTAGCTCTGAGGTGCTGAGGGCTGGGGTCTGGATTGAAGCCCAAGGAATTTTAAGCTCCAGATTGGCCAGCTTCCAGATCGCCAACATGTTCACCCCTGGGCAACTTCCCTACCAGTTTGTACTTTAATTTTAATTATTTTCTAACAATCCTCTGCCCTCTCCAAGCCTCCATGCACATATGTACCTGATGAGTTTTTATAGCAAAGGATATAAACTTGCTGTTGATTTTTGTATGAATTTTTTCACAAAAGATCCTGAAGAAAACATTGTTTTGTGGATTTTACATTTTTTTTCCCTCACCATTCAGCAGTTTTCTGAAGGTGGTAATGTCTAAAACTTTTTCTTTCTAAATTCTTACTTGTACATTTTTTTTATAGTTCTGAAGGTTGTTTTTATGGTTTGGTTCTGTTTCTTTTTATACAGCAAGCAGAGCTCTGCTGTGTGCAGGACCGCTGCTGTCATACTTGGTTTTCAGAGGGAACCTCTCGGGAATGGCTAGCAGGTCTGCGAGGTACCTTTGCCTTGTCTTTTCAGGCTCCCTCCAGGAGCCGCACAGCCAGGGGCTTCTGTCTTGCAACACTAGTAGTATTACAAGGGTGGGCAGGCCATGTGAGCCATGAGGGCAGTCGGCATTAATGAGTGTGGACTTGTAACCACTCCATCAGGATAGAACTCCAGCTCTAGTTTCCCAAAGACCTTTGAAGCATGTCCACAGTGCCTGGCTCAGAGCCTGGCCCTGCACCTGTTCAGGGGTTTCCACTGCAGCCTCACAGCCCTGGGTTTGGAGCCTGTGGCTGCTGAACCCAGGCCCTTGTCACTTGAGCCTGTAGGAGCACAGGGTCCTGAGGGACAGTCTTTGTCTTTGCTCTTTTTTTTTCTATGACAACTGACTCTTTTTACTGCTGACTTCTTTTCTAGCACTTAAAGCCGCCAATTTCATTCCAAAGTATGTGGAGTTCAGACTGATAAGAGGAAGTTGAGATACTCAGAAGAGACACCCAGCTAAGTTTCTGAGTTAGGTGGCATTTACAGGGTAATGGGAACTGGGTCAGGCTTTTGACAGCCAGGCTGAGCACACATTCTTGGACTTTTGATGGCTGGGCTGCTGTGAGTCAGTGCAGAGCTAAGATGGTGGGTAGAGCGCAGGGTAGAGAGGTCTTGGGACATGCCTGACTCCTTCCTCCCTGCGGCTCCTCTGGCCCTTGGCAGAAGGAGCCAACCTGAGGAAGCCCCTCTGCAGCCCCTCCCTGCTTGTGGCACTGCATGGTGGCAGAGGCCAGCTAGCTGCTCTTCTGGCCGCCTTGGCCCATTTTCTGCACACCCTGCCACCTGCCCTCTTGTGCCAGCCACGACTCGTGGGAGGTACACATCATCTTCCTTTTTCAGGTGATGGGTAACAAACAGGCTATTCAGTGGCCAGGAGACTGTGAGAGGGACTCACTTTGGTCCCATTAAGTCACCTTTGATTCAGGGGCCTGGCCAGGGAGCCAGCTCACTCCAGCTTCCCTGTGAGCTGAAAGCATTACCTACCATATAGCCTTTTCTTCCCTTTGAAGACACGTGGCCCTTTCCCACAGTTATCACCCAGGACAGAGGGAGGGCAGAAGGTCGGCCTTGACCTCCAGGGCAGGACCACAGCACTCCCCTGCCTGGACCTTGAACCTTCCACCTTCTCCCTTCCTTTGCAAAGGCCTTGGTGGGTGCTGGCAAGGGAGCCGGGAGCAAGCACTTTACATCCCTTTAAGGGAAGCCCGAAGACACCATGTCCTCAGGATGCTGGTGTTCACTCACCCTTGGGTCTTCCAGCTGCACCCTGAGAGCTCATGCCCCACCAGCAGGCGGCTGTTCCCAAGGCCACACCCACAGGGACATCCCAGGGCTCTGGCTTCCGAGGGCCGCTTTATCAAAGTGTTTCAGTTTTTCTTTACTTTCAAATCTGTCCCCAAGAGGAAGGACCATTTTGCAGTGGTCTCCGCAGCACTGGTGATGGACTTGGTTGTGTTTCTTTCCGTCAGAACATTCCTTCTTCACTGGTCACAGCCACGTGCTCATTCCATCCTTCTTTTTGTAGACTTTTGGCCCATGTATTTTATGGGCATTGATACATATATAAATATATAGATATAAATATATAAATATATTTTTTTAAGTTTCCTACATCTGGAGGTTGCATGGACGTACGCCGGCATGTCTTTATATTGTATACAGATTTTGCACGCCAAACTCGGCAGCTCTGGGGAAGGAGAAACGATGCCTTTCTTTCCCCTCTCATGATGTTTGCAGATGCAGAAATTTTTTTCTGTAAAACAAAACAAAATCTTGAAGGAGAGGAGGGGGGAGTTTGAGTCTTATTGAACTTATTCTTAAGAAATTGTACTTTTTATTGTAAGAAAAATAAAAGGACTACTTACACATGTGTCATTGAGAAGAGTTTACCTAGCACCTTTGACAGAGAGTCGATTGTATCCATGTGCAAGCTCCACATTCAGACCCTACTGCCTGTCTCTCACGCTGGTTGAGAGGATTTTGTTCTGTTTTGTTTGTTTCCTTTTCTCTCCCTGCACAGGGCCAGGTGCACCCTGCCTGCTGTCACCGGCCTCTGGTTGAGAACCTGGGGTTCGGGTGAGTTCCCGTCTCAGCACAGCTGTGTTGACGGGTTCATTCCTTCTGGAAGACACGGGGCTGGGGTTCCACACTGAGCAATCCAGGCCTTTGTGAGCCCTGGGTCTAAGCGATACTTTAGCACTGGAGGAAAACATTTCTCCCTCTCAAGGACCCGGGCATGCTCTGCACCCGGCCTTGATGGCCTCTCTGGCCTCACATTGATCAAAGTCTGCTATGGAAAGAACAGAATGCAGACAGGCCTTGTTCTGGGGGTGTGCGCTCCACTGAGGAGGCACTATTTTCCAATCTGTAAGAATGTTAAACATGCTGTTTCCATGTATGCACAGGAGGCTGACCTCACTCAGCAAGAGCGCACTACAGAAGTGTGGTCGAAGCCATTGAAGCGCTGTGACATGATGCTGGGTGGGCTCCGCAGCCACGCCACCTTCACTCTGTAACAGCCTGTTTTCTCTTTGGTTGTCTGGACCTCCCCTTGGCGGCGCTTTCTCCTCTTGGCGGGGTTGGAGGTCATGTTTGGTTTTCTCATTCTTGTTTCATTTTGTGTGGTGGGTTTCACTGACCGGCGGTGTCCTCTGGCGGTCACCTCTTTCCACCTCCCGGGTCCAGTGTTTGTACCACATCACACACTTGTCACTCTTGTGGTGTAAATAAAGACTGCGTTAATTGCCCTCCCACCTCTGTGCTCTGCTTGTGGTCTCTCTCAGCATGTGTGTGCCTGTAATCCTGGGGACTGACGTCTGTGCCCAGGGAGTCATTGGGCCCCAACACTTCAACTTCAGTCTTAGCTAGTTTTTTGTTTTTAATTGCTGTAAAGAGACACCATAACCACGGCAACTCTTAAAAGAAAACATTTAATTGAGGAGGTAATTTACAGTTTCAGAGGTTCAGTCCGTTATCATCATGATGGGAAGCATGGCAGTGTGCAGGCAGACGGGTGCTGGCTACATCTTGACCAGAAGGCAGCAGAAAGTCAACTGACTGTCACGCTGAAGGAAACTTGAGCAAAAGAAACCTCAAAATCTTCCCCTGCAGTGACACACTTCCTCCAACAAGGCCAGACCTCCTAATAGTTCCATTCCCTTAGAAGCTATTTTCTTTCACACCCCATTCCACTCCCTGGTCCCCAAAGGCTCATAGCCATATCATAATACAAAAAAAAAAAAAAAAAGGCAGTCCAACTTCAAAAGTCCCCATAGTCTATTACAGTCTCAAAGTTGTTTTCCAAGTCCAGAGTCTCTTCTGAGGTTCTGAGGTACATGGCAATCTCTTAACTGTAATAACCTGTAAAAAATCAAAATCAAAAAGCAGATCACATACTTTCAACATACAATGTCACAGGATATACATTACCATTCCAAAATGCAAGGAAAGGAGCGTAGCGAGGAAATACTGGACAAAAGCAAGACTGTAAACCCGCTGGGGAAACTCAAAACTCTGCATCTCCATATCTGATGTCAAAATGTTCCTCAGATCTCCCACTCTTTTTCAGCTTTATTGACCACAATACACTTCTTTCTCTTGGGCTAGTTTCACTCCCTGTTAGCAGCTCTCTTAGGCAGGTATCCCATGACTCTGGCATCTCTAACATCTTGGGTTCTCCAAAGCAATCTGGACTTCAACTTCAGTTTCATGCAATGGCCTCTCTGCTGTGCCTCCATTCAGGGACAACCCTGACACATGCCTGGCCATAGCTTTATTCCATAACTCCTTTCTTCTAACCTTAACGTTTAACCTTAAGTTCTGCTGCTTGCTGGGGCTGGAACATGGCCCCCTTGTTTAATTACATCTTCACCAGCTTTCTATTTTACTTCACTGCCTAAGCTTGGCTGTCCTTGAACTTGCTCTGTAGACGAAGCTGCCCTCAGACTCAGATCCACTAGCTTCTGCCTTCCCAGTGCTGGGATTAAAGGTGTGCCCCACCACACCTGGCTCTAAGCTTTTCTTTCATTTCTTTCCACAAGTTAGAAATTTAACTGGGTATGACCTTGCCCTGAGGTCACCACTCCCTTTATTCCATTTCTTAATCCATTTATCTCCTTGAACATAGAATTTAGCTCTATTCCACTTCCTGGTGCTCTTTTTTCTCCTCAAAATTTTCACTTTGTAACAACCTGCTCAGCTTGAGCCTTTTCCTTATAAATCTTCATTAGAGTTACCACTAATATCCACATGACAGAGTCTAGGCTGTTTTGAGATTTCTTCTGCCAACAGAATTAATCTAAAACTTCACTTTAGCCTCAGGCAGACTCTGGACATGAGCAAAAGGTAGCCATTTCCCTCACCAAAGTATCACCAGAACGATCTCGAGGCAACATACTACTCTGAAACCTCTTGAGTGAGCCCCCAACAGGTCAAATAACTCTTAGCACCTCTGTCTTCCATGCTCCTACTAGTGTGAGTCATTAAGCAGTGCTTAAAGTATTCCACTGCTTTCATAACCCAAAGTACCAAAGTTCAAATTCCTCCAAACAAACATGGTCAGGAGCCTATCACAGCAATACCCCGCTCCTGATACCAACTTCTTTCTTAGGGTTTTTATTACTGTAAAGAGACACCATGACCATGGCAACTCTTATAAATGAAAACATTTAATTGAGGTGGCTCGCTTACAGTTTCAGAGGTTCAGTCCATTATCATCATGACAGGGAGCATGGTGGTATGCAGGCAGACGTGGTGCTGGAGCTGAGAGTCCTGCATCTTGCAGGCCACAGATGCCATCCTCTCATGCTTTGCCTACAAGTAGAATCCATTGTGGTCTCATTTTTAGTTCCCAGTCATTTAAAGCATTTTGCTGTTGTCTCCCCTGACGTTGTTTGCTGTCAGTGATGAACTGGGTTAGAACCAACCTCAGCAGTGAATGAGGCCCAGGGACGGGGACCAGGGCTGCATTCCACTGCTTACTCTGAGACTTAGAGCCAGTATGCAAACTGCCAGTTCCCACCACTAACAACATGGAGCTGAGTACCCCATCCCCCTCCTGGGACACACAAGAGGTCCCTTTGCATGGTGACTGAGCCATCCCCACTCTTACATGTAGAGTTTGGTTTCCAGAGGAGAATTGTCTACTACCATGCTCGCATCAGCCAGCCATCTAAAATGTATGTCTTTGCCATAATTTCAGTTTACATGCCATAGTGTGTCTACTGTCCATGCTGTGAAACAAAACACGGTCCAGATGCCCCTGGCTCCAGGTCTCCTAAGACTGTGTGACAGCCTTCCCTGAAGCCTGGAAAGAGTTGTCCTACCATACACTCCTAGGGTTGGCAGACCTCCTTTCCAGACTCAACAGCCTAGCATGGCCACCCACAGCAAGCAACCTGGGAGAGGGCATTCCCTGGGCAAAAGTTTGGGGGAGTGGTCCTTACAGGTTTCAAATATCTCCTGGTCTTCTAATTCATTTTGACTAAAAGTCAAATGCGTGCCAGCTAGCCATTCTGAGAAGACTTTGTCTGTGATTGGATAAGGAGAAACTTGGAGAGTGTTCAGAACCATTCACTATAAAGTCACTGTAAAGCCTCCCTCAGTCAGGCCCAAGCCACATCCAAGCCGTGCTGGGAAGCATGGTGAAGTCACGGAGCGGGAAGGGTTGCTTCCATAGTTCCAAGAACTGTTAGCCCCAGCCTTGCAGGCAGCAAAGCTTAGGCCTACTGAAAGCTCTTGCTAAACTGTCCACTTAGGAAAGTGCCGGCCTCCCAACATGTGCTCTGCTGTTATTACCGCCATTCACCCAGGACCCTAGTCCAAACAGCTAAGGAGGATTAGAGGGAGGGGTGAGTGCTTAGGGCATGTCCATTTTGTTCATGTGTAGACTGAACAAAATAAACCCAAGGTTGGTGACCTGCTTGGGTGGGGTGTGGTGGGGGATGGAAGGAGTTCCCTAGTATTAAGAAATGTGTTCCCAGTCATGACCAGACAGTGGGTAGAGGCCTAGCCTGTCCTGCAGCACCGTGACTCGTCCTGGGGTTCTGGAGCTCACGCCAACATCAGAGTGAGTGGCTGCCTGGAACCCAAGACAGCCACACCACACCCAGCTGGGGAAGCAGTGCCAGGTAGGTGTGAATCTTCTTTCCAGGACAGAAGGAGTCCAATAGTGTCCAATTGTGTGGGAGTTGGAAGTGAGACACTGGACAAAGTAAAGCAGAGACAAGATTGCTTAAAGTTGGATTTCCCCCGCAGATCAGGAAGCAGGTCAGACAGGGAATTCATGGTAAAGCCTTGATCCCATGGGTTTCCATCATAGCCACATCCCAATGTGTGAGGAGGGCCCCGAACCAGAATAGGAGGGCTGCTGAGAGAGGCCTGACCGCTGAAGTCAGGTCAAGCTGAGGTCTGAGGACACTTGCTCTATTGAGTACCACAGTAGAAGCAGGGTGCAGTTGTGTGTGTGTGTGTGTGTGTGTGTGTGTGTGTGTGTGTGTGTGTGTGTGTGTGTGTGTGTATGTGTGTGTGTGTGTACACACCAATGCTATTCCAGCACCACCTGGTGGTGGTTCCTAGAATCACATCCTTACCCTGTTGGCTACCACCCCTGAGTCCCCAAGCCCTGACCCCAGGAAGAAAATAATTTGAGGTTATGCCACTTGAATGTCAGATACTCAAGCCATTCCCCAGAATCCTGAGACTCCTCTCTGGGTTCCCTTGGGTTAATCTCTTAATCTGTCCTATAGGGCAGCTGTGGTCTTTCTGAGCCAGAGTCCTGGCCCCTGGCCCCAGCACTGGCCCCCACATATACTTACCCTCTTCTCTCTTCTCGCTGGCTAGCTGTGTACTGTCAGGTCCTGTCCATAGACCTGCCTCCTAGGCCCACAGTCGAGGGAGCAGAATGCAGACACACAACACCCCGAGCCAGTAACTTCACCAGGATGCTGAGAGGGAAAATGGCTTGAGTTCACAGGGGAGACAGGTAGGGGCAGGTGGAGAGAGGGCAAGGAGCATGGAATGGACAGCAAGAAGAGCCATCCAAGCAGTGGGCATGGTTGGGAGTGGGGACCCTGCAGATGAGCTGACTATGACTGCAATTCATCCTCTGAAGGGACCCAGCACCCACAGACCCTAGAGAGCTGCCTATGGACTTGGGGCCCTTCCATCTGGAAGCTGTAAAGCATCTAAGCACAGCTGCAGTTGCCCAGCAGGGGACAGCCTGCAGGAGACACCTGGATTGGTCTTCTGACAGACTGAGCGGAAGTGAGAGAAGGGGTGGAATTCAGGGTGCTAGCCAGCTGCAGTATGAGAAAGGACTAAGTGGCTAAGGCTGACAGGGCTTCCTGGGGGCCAGTCTGGTGAGGCTCACAGTGCCAGCTGTGGAGCCTCTGACTGGGCTGCAATGGCCACCGTCTCTCCAACTGGAGATGGTAGCAGATACTTGGACACAGGAGTCTAGAGACAGAGGGGCAGAACTTGACTAGAAATGCACATCAGTGTCTCAGGCTAGGTGTCCGTCGTGGCCATGAAGCTGGGTGGGTGATAGGGTGGAGCAGTGAGTGGCAAGCTGAGAGAAGGTGCTACATCCTCAGAGGGGCTAGCTGAGGAGATGCAGGAGGGGCAGGCCGCGATGTAAGGGAAGCGCAGCTTGTGGGACTCTAGGGCAGCAGGTCCTAGGAAGATAGCCGTCCACGGCTAAAGCGCAGATGGGGAGGTCGGGAGCAGGGAAGTCTCTCTCCTACGGCCAGGAGAG